GTCACGTGCCGGTCCACAAAACGTCATGTTCGGCAACCGGTCCGCAATCAAACATTTATTGACCGGTCAATAATAAAATGGGTGCAATACGCATGCGTTTCAACCATGAAGTTCCAAAGTTCATTTTTAAAACTTTTTATTAAACATTTACGGCGTTCCATTTATATAGTTCTGGTTTCAAGTATAACCGGTGCATTATTCATACTTTGACACTTATATACTATATAATAAATCACTTATTTACTGAGACCTCGGGAAACAGTGTGTTTTGTGGACCCAAGACCGTCGTTGTATAAATAAATAAATAAGTGTTTTATTATATAGTATATAAGTGTCAAAGTATGAATAATTCACCGGTTATTGTAGTGAACTTAATTTGAAACCAGAACTATATAAATGGAACTCCGTAAATGTTTAATAAAAAGTTTTAAAAATGAACTTTGGAACTTCATGGTTGAAACGCATGCGTATTGCACCCATTTTATTATTGACCGGTCAATAAATGTTTGATTGCGGACCGGTTGTCGAACATGACGTCTTGTGGACCGGCACGTGACGTGGTTTTGACCAATCGGCAAACAGAAAAATTGAACTTTGACACTAACTATATAACAATATACACTTAATCTCTGCTCCTGAGGGAAATAGTTAGTTTTGTTTTTCCGCGAGTCTCAATGTTTCCCGAGACGAACCTGTTGTTGTATCCCGGCAGGCTCAGCAAGGGGAGCATTGTTCCCTGTTCACAGTTCAAAACAACAATGGAGCCACAAATTAAAAAACATTGTTTTTCGAGTCTATCAAACGATGAAATTGAGCAACTAGTCGAAAAAAAGATTCGGAAAACACTCAAAATCGATAGGAAATGCTGTGGCAACCTTTAGCAGTTTGCAATTATTTTTCACCTAACCGGCATCGCCGCCGAAAAACATTGAATATCTCAATAAAATGTCGAAGGAAGAACTCAACGAACTTTTGATTACTTTTACCCAAATGCGAAGAAAAAGAATGGTGAAAACTACAAAAAGTCTGCTTTGATAGGATTGAGGTTTGGTCTTGAGAGGCATTTTTTGTACGTTTGGGAGTGAAGCTTCTTTGACTTGGTTGTTTACAACTTTGTATACATTGTAAAGAGTTCTCGTGAAATTAAATAAAGTTGTTGCGTGATTAGGATTTTTTTGTTACTATACAACAAAACACTTAATGCCTGTTCCCTCGGGAAATAGTCAGTTTTGTTTTCCCTCGAATTAGATTTGATTTGATAATTTAGATTCTCGGGAAAACAAAATTAACTATTTTCCTCGGGAGCAGACATTAGGTGTATATTATTATTATTGCACGCTGATGGCGTCAGCAGCTGAAATAACGCGACGGCTTCAAGAAACCGGTAACTATCTGACGCGTTTTGACCAATCACGAACGAGAATAGACTTTGAATATATAATAATAAGTAATCATTCATGAGCATTTATTCTACCTGTTTACATATTCTTTGTGATTGGTAAAAACGTGTCGGATAATTCTCGGTATCTTGACGCCGTCGCGTTATTTCAGCTGCTGACATCCGAAGTTCGGTCCAAAAAAAGTATTATTGCACACTGCATGTGGTTACCAAGCACAGGCGTGGTCCGTTGTTTGCTAATAAGCGCGCGAAAATTCCATATTTTTAAAAGCGTAAACAAAATGGCTTTGCTTTCTTTCTAGCTTTTGAATATATAATAAAATAATTATCATTAATTCGATTTTCGTATGATATCAGCCAATCACGTTTGGTGTTCACCCTAGCTGATTGGGCTTCGGTGGCGCAGACGGGGCTTCGGTGGCGCAGTCGTCAGAGCAAGCGCCTTTCACCTCTGAGATCGTGGGTTCGATTTTCGCTATGGACTCATGTGAAAAGAGTCAATCAACGTTCTGCCGAAAGTTGTGGGTTTTCTCCGGGCATTCGGTTTCCTCCCACAGGGAAAGTTGACAGGGTGGGTTAGGATAAACATAGTTAGGAACGTAATATCACAATTGTTGCAAAGATAACTAGTCTATACAAAGTAGATAATACAAGTAAACGTAATACTTGATGTAATCAGTCACGCAAAAGCCCCGTTGGGGAGTGAGCTGAATAATATATGCATATGTATATGTATGTATAACAATTATGATTATTTATTAGGCGAATGTGAAGACATGGCAAAGATGACAGCGACGGAAAATAGCAATGTAGCTGAGGAAACTCCTGAGACGAAGGAAGATGGAGTGGAACAAAGTAACGCAGTTGAGGAGGAACAGAAGCTGCCATACGAAGTGGAAGATGGCCGCAAAACCTGTACTGAAAACCAAAGCAAAGAAACAGATATTAACGATGAAGATACTGATGAAAATAAATCCATACTGAGCAAGTTGTTCGTTCACAGCCAGTGGCTAGCGGTCCAAAGCCCGTATTTCAAGGCGCTTTTCTATTCCGGCATGAAGGAAACTTATTCCAACGAGGTAGTAATGAAAATTTATGAAGATGATCTTCAAGCACATTTGACCTTAATCGAAGCAATGTACAAACTTGATGTACTCATTGACAAAGACTACCATCTTGTAGTCCAAGTTCTTGTCCTTGCAAACAAGTATGATGTTCGCCATGTCATCAAGAAGTGCAAGTATGTCCTGTTGTCGACAGCACCAAGCTTAGATATGTGTGAATATATTCTCCAAGAAATAAAACATCTTTCCCACATGGCTGATATGTATGATATGCTCGAGAAGTTCCTTGTTAAGGAATTTACACCGATAGACAAAACGTGGACTATGGAAAAATTTACTGGACTTTCAAAAGCCGCGCTGAGGCTTCTTCTCGAAAGTGATAGTTTGGGTACCCAATCTGAAAACACAATATTTGTTGCATTGATGGAATGGGTTCGTTTCAATATCCCTAGTCAAGCACGCAATAAATGTGATCTGTTGGATGTTGTAAGATTTGAGTTTATAGAGGTAGATTTTCTGTATGATTTCGTGCAAGAACATCTGGTAGCAACAAAAATGCTTGGATTCACCAAACATCTTCTGAAAGGTTTAGCATATCATGGATTTTCGCAGATTAGGCGAGAACAATTCAAATCGAAGCCGAAGAAACGACCCTTCGTAGCGGATGCCGATCCAACGTTTTCATGGGTAATTGATGACAAACTCGAAGAAAAGCTGACGAAGTTTCCAGGAGTTCCTGTTTATTCTAGTATATTTTGGAATCAAGGATATAAAATGAAACTTCAGCTTGGTTATATGGAAGATTTAAGTAAATGCAACTTTTATCTCGCGATCTTTGGCTTGAAAGGCGAGGGTTGCTTGTATGCCAGTTATAGGGCCAAGTCGAGTTTATTTGTTTCGAAGACAATTCAGTTAAAAAAAACGTTGTATACAGCCAGCAACCGTTCTTGGGGATATAGAAGTTTAGAATGTAACAAAGCTCAAATAAGAGGAAAAGGCTATACAATTGACATATGGGTACAAATTAATTAACCTAGCTTATCTATGCTAACATGATTGTTGTATTACTTTCAATTCGCTGAAATAGTAATTTTAGCGTAATTTAGGGCAGGGGCGGATCTGGCCTGATCAATTTGTTAGAGGGGGTGGAGGTTTTCCAGAGTGGGGTGCATTACTACCGGGTCCGGGGGCATTGTTCCCCAGAAAATATTTAAAATATTTATAATTTTAAATGCAGCCCTAAAACGCCATTTCCTGCATTCTGAGCACTACATTTATTTCTTAAATTTATCCTCACAGTACTTGTATTTTGGGCTAAGATTAAGAAAAGCGCTATGTTATGTGGTGACCCGCCGTATTGGTGCTTGAATACTTTCTCGCGTATTCGAAAATCAATCCTTTCAATATAACAAGTAGTATTCACAACTGAAATATGGAATACCAGGGTTTTCTTCAACGGGGTGCTGGACACCACTGGGAGGGGTTGGGGTGCACCCCCCCTGCACACCACGCATAGGGTTGCCATTAACCTATATGAACGGGCTTTGTGATTGGTTGATCATAACAATGAAAGACAACCAACTATTGACCGACTCGAAAACTAGCTACCACAATTTCACATGTACTACTTACAACTTGTATTGGATATACATCGGATATATTTGTATATCCGACACAACACAGACGCGAATGTTGTAAATGGCTTGTGAAACGTCTCAGGGCCGTAGCAACCGGGGGGGGGGGGGGGGGGGGG